AAGTAAATTATTTCATCAGCTTTAAAACCAGAAGCAAAGTAAAGCTCTAGTGCTGTTTGCTTTTTGCCAGTACATGGATTTCATGTTTGTTTCATTTTCTGTATTAGGAAACTGCTATAACATTTTCCACATGTGGGAATAAATAGCTTTGCTTTCCTTTTTTTTAGTATTATTGTTGTTCAGCTCACAAATGATTTTTCAGGGCAATACAGGTGTATGAAGTGAAAAAAGAAATTATTATATTTTGAAATTAAACTTAGTTACTTTTCTGTCTTGTAAATGCTGTGTTTTCCCCGTGGCAGAATTTGAAAGAATGGCTGTTTGTCACAAAGATAAATGGCTTTGGATGTTGTCAAGGCATCACTCACACATCTTATTTATTAGCACGTGACTGATTATTAGTCCCCAGATCAAGACTGTCCCTGTTTTTGTATATGTCTAAACTGTAGAAAGTTGATCAGTTGGGTTACTTCGCTTAAACTGAGTCGCTTTATCAGTTTTTACTGACACATGTACGCTACTGTGGGTGCGAAAATGTATTTTCCCAGTTCAGAATTCCAGTCTCTGATGCCTAGCAAGCAGAAATTAATATGAGAAGACTTAATTACATAGCATAATAGATCAAGGTTTTGAAAATTAATGACTTATTAATTTGAAACAATTATCTTGTGAGACATGAAGTTAAATGCAGAGTTTTGGTGCATCACGTTACAACATGTAATAGCAGCTTTGCATATTTCTTTCAGAGTTTTTGAAAATATGAAGATAATAAGTGATGACTAATGTACACCATCTGGCTAGGGTGGGGGAAAAATAAAGATTTCCTGAGCAACAGGGTTTTTGCTAGGCTGATTTCATCAAAATAAGAAAGCAAATACTTTTTTTTTTTTTCCTGAGAAAATGAAGTTCTACTGACTTCACTGAAACTCGGTGGATAAGTGTAGCCTGTGCATTGTAGTCTGTGATCAGTATCAAGGAGGAGCTCATTGGTCTCTGTCAGAAGGTCAGTTAGTGTATCCTATCAGTCCTGTTGCATCATATACACAGAAAAAGATTACTGAGACTTGAAGATTTTGAGCAACATTAACGAAAGTATTAGACAGCCTTGCTGGAATCAGCTCTTACCCTGTAAAGAGATGATCTAGTTCTGCGTGGTGTCAAATCCATGAACAAACTACTACTAGTCTCTACAGCTGTAGGATTAGCTCCTTAGTGACACATACATGATTTTGTGCTTCATATCTCCAGATTTACAGCTGTCAGTTTTTTTCTGTGCTACTTTTGTGATGCGATATAGAACTAAATGCAATAATAGATATTAGAATCCATGTACAATTTCTAATTTAATCTGTTCAGTTTCTTAGAACCAAAATTGTTTTCTCAGTTTCTTTTAATACGGAGTTTGCTGTTCAGGCAGTGACTCAGTCTTGTTTATTTCCTTATTTTTTGTTTGGTTCTTAATTCCTAGTGTTTCTACTTCCGTTTTTAATGAAGTATTTACTTAAAGGTCTCAACTATTATGAACAAAGTAAGGTGTGCAGGGATAGTTTTCTCCACTATAGAGAAAATAAAGCAGATCTATGCCTGCATCAAACTGTTAGAACTGCCGTCTTCTGTCTGTATTTTTAAACTATCTCTTACTGCTTTAAAATTATTTTTATGTAGCAACCCTGGCTCTGCAACTCTTCCAGTAATACTGAAAATGGTATGATAGATCAAACTTCACTTACTCTTGAGTAATGGTTGCTTAAGCTCTGGACGTGCTGGATGATGTATGACCTATCTCAGTTGCAGAGGTAAAAATTGATGTCCATAGTGACTGGCAAGAAGTTACAGAAGTGTGAGCGGGGACTGCCAATACATTCCTGTGGGTGAGCAGGTTGCTAACTTTGCAGTTTGTGTTAGAACATCTGTTGGCTGTCTACTTACTAAAAAAAACCCCAAAATCCAACAAAACAGTCTGTAAAGAAAGCACAGCCTGTACTTGGAATATTCGTAATTACTGGGCCAAATCATTCATAAATCAACACAAGATGATTAAAAAAAAATCAAATAACAAAAATACGTGAGTATGCAAGAGCATAAAAGAAAGAGGAAAGGAGGAAGGGAGGAAAAATGAAACACTGGAAAATAATAGGTCTCTTTAGTTGTTGATATCTAGAAACATTTGAGTTTTTTTTACTCAAGGTTTTCAAGAAATTGTGGCTCTTGGATTGCCCCATGACTGTTGTTACAAAGCATCTTTCCCTTGTGTCATTTCCTCCATTAAAAGGATCATCCCTGATTCTATATTGCATCTATTATGAATATAAGTTTCTAGGGGCAAATTCTGGAACCAAGCATATATATGCTTTGCAGCAGGGAACAAGGATGGAACTTAACATTTTTCCGTGCTGAGGTTGGTGTAGCTTCTGTTGGTCTAGCTGTCCAGGTTCTCTTGGAGTCCATCTGCTAAGTGGCACACACTGACTTTAAGCCCACCACTGGGTTTAAAATAAGAGCTGGTTTTAGATCCCATGTTGATGGATTAGTATGTTTGCAGTACTGTTTAAGAAGTAAGAAACAGTCCTGCTTCCACAAAAGGTGAATAAAATAAACAGGAACAACAAGACCAGTATTATTTTAACAGATGGATGCTGACTGATGGGGTAGAGATGTTTGATTTGAACTGTCGCAGTAAAATGAATGGCAGGGGAGCAGGTAATGCTGGGCCTAGGCCTGGTGCCTAGCCCAAGTAGCAGAAGAGCATTAGAACATTTTTGAAGGGGAGCAATGGATGGCAAAAATGCTTTTTAGGGTGGATTCTGGTAGGTTGATGGGTGGAATTAAATTACGTATTTGCCTGTAGTAATAGGACACTGGACACGATGAACCAAGAGGTCATCTTGGCCCGGAGGGTCCCATCCAGTCCTGTGTCTTATGTTCTCTTTATGTAAAGAGGCTGTTGAAATATGTCTTTTGTCTCACCTTTTCTTTTACTACTATGATTCTGCTATATATTTTGCCCATAGCAAATGCCAACCATAATATTTTTGTCTTCTTTATGTTTTCTTACATTATTTATCTTTCTGTATCTAAGCTGCAGCCTTAGTTATATGCAGGGAGACAGAAATAGCTGTTATTGTGAAATGTGTACATGGTAGGATTTGCTTGAACTTAAGTGTTTTTGTAGTGTGTTTCTCAGGAATGCTGATAATTGATGTTACTGTAACCTCTGGTGCTCTTTAGCCAAAGAAATCTGATGGCTTTTGGGGCACAAACCATTCACGTTTCTTCTGTGAGGCCACTTCACTCTTGTTATCCAGTAATTGTTCCAGTTTATTGATGATAAATTAAGTGGGAGCGACAACTTTGGAATAAGTATTAGGAAAACAATCTGGAGAAGGGAGGGAGGAGATGGATGTCCATCAATTTCACTGGGCTGGAAGAGCTCATGTAAAATATAATGTGACTTGAGGAGGTGCTGCTCTGGGTGAAGCTCTACAGTGTTTGTGAAGTATACTCAAAGCAGAAGAAAAAAGCAGGAGTATGGGACCGAGCTGAGCAGAGAATGAGATCCAGGAATCCTCGCTTTGCACTAGGAGACAGCCATACCTCTCCTGGGGATCCCAGGGTGCTGCTGGTTGGAGATGACCTGGAGAGAAGTATGTAGTTTATTGATAAGCCTCTACTTTTACTAAGTCGCCAGTGGATATATCACATCCTATACGTAGCCAACCTTAAATGGCCTTTTCACAGGGAAAAGAAATCTAGCCTCCCAAATTAAAGACTTTGCACATGGGAATATAAATATCTTTGTTTAAATTGCCAGCGGTCAAGGCTTGTTTTTTATTTGGTTGTATGTGGAAGTGCCAGTTGTGTAATAAATAGTAAATATGTAGTTTTGCATGTAATGTCTGTGCTGTATTTCAGTATATGATAGTAGAAGATTGTAATCCTTGCTGAGCAGTTGTAGTCCATGTAATTAACACTGTGTGTGGTAAGTGAGCAACATGGTGTGTTCCTCAACAAGTTTAAAAAATTGAATCATTCCTTGTGTCTTTTATTCTTGTCTCTAATATTTGCATAGCAACAGATAACTTAAAGTATTATACAAAGTGATGAATTAATGATTTCTGAAGGTAAAACAACAAATGTGTTAACTGATCTGTTTTGATAGCAGTGACTTCTACAATTTATCCAAGTCAAATATGCTATTATTATAGAGAGAAGCCCCCAAAAATGTTATTCAATTAGTTAGGAAAAGAGATTCTATGTATAATTCTGTTTAAAGTATGAAGGAACTTATGTTTAAATAAAGCATTGAAACAAATCTGAAGTTGGAGCTTCAGTGATACAAGGGGGTGATACATGAACTTAAAATTTATTCAAGCGTATTAGAGTGATTTAAAGAAATTCTGGTGATGTGAAAGGAAGAATAAGTCAAGGTAAACTTCCACGTCAAAATAAAAAAGTTTGCAAGACAGTGTAAAATTAAATGAAGACTGTCTTAGATAGCTTATAACTTTTTGAATCTCCCTAGTAATGGGATAACTGTCTCATACTCCCTTGTTAGGTAGAACTCTGTGTGTCCTAATTAAACAAAGGTTGATGTAATGAATGGTGAAAATAAGTATGCCACTGTATGTCTTATAAGGATATTTCCAGGGCCCAGTTCTGCAGCATTTTCTGGTTTTAATGAATGTGAAGAATCCCATTGACTTGGATGGGACTATTTGCTTAAGCAAAGGTACAGTATATTGCCATGTTTGCAGGAACAGGATCTCTTTCTCTCACAGAATGTGAAAACAGGATCATCTCATGCACTTAGTGTAATTATAACCTTGTCAGTACAGCTATCATTAGGTGCTGTGTAGTTAAAATCTGTAAAATAAACTGCCACGAAGTGTTATCTCCTTAGTCCTGATCAATACAACTTGCCCACTTACTGCAAATTCTAACTAGTAAAAGAGATGTTAAATTACACTGTCTTTCATTGTACTTTTTTTGTCTTTTTACAGGAAAAAGTAGAATATGCCTTCCTGATAATTTTTACGGTTGAAACATTTTTGAAGATTATAGCATATGGATTATTATTACACCCCAATGCATATGTTAGAAATGGATGGAATTTATTGGATTTTGTAATAGTAGTAGTAGGGTAAGTAAGTTATCCTTCATTATACAAAGATTTCAAATCTTCTTTACAGTGAGGTAGATGTAGGTCTGTGTGGCTGTGAGTAATGACCTATGCTTGATTTGTGTTCCTTTGGAATAAAAGAATGAACTGAGTGAAAAATTCAAAGCCAAGTCCGTAAAGTTTCAACGCTCTTTGTGCCTGCAGGCTGTGTTGCATAATCAGCTTTATAGTAAAAGTTCCCAGGGAATTCTGAGTTCTGCTGAAAATTTTCCTTGGTTGTTGTCTTGCAGAAACTTTTCCATCTGATTTTTTTTTTTCCAAGGAGAACTCCTGATGTCTTTCCATGTGATAAAGGTTGATCTATGTAGGCCCATAAATTCTTATTTACTCATTTATCTCTATACTGCGGTTACATGGTGTTCAGCTGTTCTACAAAGACCTCTGGGAGAACCTGTGTGTTTTGAAGTAGAAGAGAGTGGTCAAGGAGGACAGTTAACTGAGTGATTCCCTGACCTTCCCAAAATCTGAGGAAAATTGGACCCTTAAGTACTTTCCTGTGGGGTACTGCTCCTCAGGCCCAATATATTTAGGATTTTGGCTTGCCTGCAGGAGAAGGTATGCTAAAATGCCTTTTTTTTTTTTTTTTTTTTCTTTTTTCCCTGTGCACCTTGTTCTACCAGGAAACCCTGGAGACCTTGTCCTGCTCCTCAGAGGAGGGACTGCTCAGGCCTTGTGCAGGCTGCAGCACAGTGGAGAGTGGAACATCCCACCTTTACATTATGCACCTGCTTATGATAAATCACGTGCCTTTTTGTCAGCAACTTCATGTCAATTGTTGCGCTACTTCATTAGAAGGTCCTACCTTCAGCTGTCTAGGGATTTAATCTTGAGGCATATATTCCCCAATTCCATAATTATGGAGGTGATTATATTGGGGGAAATAAAAATAAATTTCCAGTACTGTACATGTTGTTTACTGCAAACATTTATTGCTATGGCACGTGGAGAACATCATCCACATATGACTTTGTACATTGTGGCTGGCTTGTAAAGAAGACCTGGACATGCAGTGTGCAATTCTAACTTAATTTTTAAGTCCATCATTACATTAAGGGAGAAGAAAACAATGCCAAGTAAAGGAGTTTTTGGTAAAGCGTTATTAAATTAAGGCAAGTATTGTGAATGTATGAATACCCAATTTATAGCTGTTTGATTCTGAGATAGTAAATGTTACTGAGCAGATTGTATTTGGGCCAGTTGGTTGTCATTCAGGTAGTTTTGGTCCAGGACTAAAATTTGCATATAAATAAATCTTTCATCAGGTCAGGTCATTCTCAACAGATCGGCCTCTGTGCCTGAAGGAGAAGCTTGGTGGGCAGGTGTGGAGACTGTCACACCGAAGAGCTCTATTCCCTTGCCAGGCAGTCACTTGAATAGACCTCTTCCCTCTTGCCAAGTGACCATGGAGTTACAGTAACCCTGGAGCAGTCTAATTAACATGACCTCTATCTTTGGCTGTGTCCTAAATACATGATAACTAAAAAATTTTCCATTAACTCATAAAACACTCATTATTGGAGGCTAAATCTAGTCAGGTCAAATGCTCACACTGAATCCAAGGAAAATATGAAGAGAAAGGACTGCATCTTATAAAATACCTAAAATATAGTGCTAAGATTTAAGTCCTAGATCAAAATGAAAAGGTTTGGAATATAAACTATAGGTTGTCATCGGTCTACCTGGAAGTCGAGGTGCACCCTTCATAACATGTCAGGCACTGATGAAACTGTAAGCAATATTTTTGTTTCTTCTTCTAAGAATACACTCCACATTAACAAGTAAGCAAGCATGAGTCCATTTATGTAATTAATACTTAAAAGCCCAGTGACAAATTGATTTTCATATATAGCCCAAGGTGTCTATGGAGTCACTTCTGGATCTGATTTGACTGGTTTCATTGTGAAATTTCATTGGGTATTTTAATAGCTTAGAAAGAGCTGCCAATATAGTGTCCTATATTGAAAGTTGTAGATTAAATTTGCTTCATGTGCTTTCTCAGCAGAAAATGCAGCAGTCCAAATGCATAAATCTTAATTATACCAAAATAAATCCCTACTAGCAAAGGGGGAGCGTGGATAGAGACTTTTTTCCACAACATCAAATTTGGCATTTAAACTTTGCTAACTGTACAGGAAAAAAAAATGTCAGTTTGAAAAGCAATAAAGGAGATAAATGGTTTTATATCTAAATGGATTGATAGGATAGACATAAAAGGACAGGGCTGTAGACATAGCTGTGAATGTGATGTTTTCTCCTGTCTTTGTCACTTCTCTCTGAAACCAGCCAGGGTATGATTTACTTTTGGAGCAGTCTACTATTTGCCTGCATGCTATGCCACATAATTTCAATTGATTTCTGTAAAAGGATAAGGTCCCAGTAAAGAAAGCTTTCACAGCACCTTCCTATGCCTGTAGCCCTTTAATTTTCTGAATGATGGATGGACTGACAGGCTGAAAACAGCTTTTCTTAATTCAGGACTTGATTCAGAATCTGTTTAATCATGTCTGCCTTTAGCGTGTGAATAGTCACTCTGAAATCATTGAGAAGGCTCATTTTCTTAGAATTATGCTTCTATTAACTTATAGGGCTGAGTCAGGACCTGAAATGTGAAATGTGTGGATTTCTATGGTTATACAGTATGTAGGCTGCTGGTGTTCATTCTGAGTCTTCATGGCTGGGTTTCACTCTGGAGGGGAATGAGGCAGAATAGGGATGGGTATTGGCCATGACTGAGTTGGAAACCAGAGCTGTGATAACTTTTCTTGACAAAACCAAAACCCTGCACGTTTCAGGAGTCCTTTACAAGTGTGAAACATTTTTCAGGATTACAAAGCTATTGGTTTGATGATCCTTTCAGGAGAAGCTCAGTTTTGCAGCTACTGAACTAAGACTGTGCACAGGATAACAGGGTTTGCGTGGTCTAGCCACAGTCTAGAAACGCATGAGTCTGGACTGCAGGCCTGAACTGCATTAAACCTGAGGTTACTTTGCACTTCAACCACTTGCATCACTTTGAATTGCTGCTATAAGTGGGAAAGAAAAATAAAACTCTCATCTTCCAAACTGTTCTAATGAATTGACTAGGTTATTTCTGCAGTGAAGAAATACAGTGTCATAAATGAGTCATCTGGGAATATTTTTATCCTCAAAGATATTATGTGTAAGAAACAAATCTTTTTAGTGTTATTGAATATTGGACTCTATTTTTCATCTATTCAGTTTTTGTTGGCTGTATTTAGAATATTGAACTGCAGTGTCACTTGGAGTTCATATATATTCCACCAAAATGAAAACAGATGGTTTCTAGTGATTATCTGTTTAATGTTCTAAAGAGAAGACTAGTTCTCCAAACCATACAGCTAAAACATTGAACAAAGAGGCGGCAAAGTATCTTAGTATCTTCATTTATATTAAAGTAGTAGACTGTGTATACAAGCAGAATGCTAATTTGTTGGGTAGTGTGTGATCATGGCTCTCTGGAGGGATTAGAAACTCTTGCACTCTGTAACTCTTCCTGTCATGGGCTGATGTGTAAATACACCTCTCATGCTGACAGCTGAACAGCTTTTCAGAGTTACCTGTAGTTCAGGTGGTTTCCTAATACCTTTGATTGCATGAAAAATGGATGGTGACGACCTTACCCTTCATCTCATTTTCTAGGTTATTTAGCGTAATATTGGAACAATTAACCAAAGAAGCAGAAGGTGGCAGCCACTCAGGTGGCAAACCTGGTGGCTTTGATGTCAAAGCCCTCAGAGCCTTTCGTGTATTGCGACCTCTCCGGCTTGTATCAGGAGTGCCCAGTAAGCTCTCTTCTGTTTAATTCCATTGGACTGAATATTGTAACTGATCTGATTATTTAACTTTCTCGCTCCAGACACTAACAGGAATGAGAGAATTTAAAGTTGATTTTTTGTTATCTGGTTATGAAGTTGGTTTTGAGCTGAATGATACCCTATTTCAAGTTGAACAAAAGATTGTGAATTCATTCCGTGTATGATCTTCTTACACAGTTCAGTAAGCAGAGAGGGGAACACAGTTCATTTTTAGAAGTTTTATATAAAAGTAAACTGCATGTTAAAATGCAAATACACCAGAAAAAAATTCATATTTCTTTTTTATTCCAAACCCCTGCAGATCTGAAAGTGTAGGTGGTCCTAAAATAGTTTATATGTTGGTAAGTGTATGCCAAAGCACGTTACACATTTCATATTCCCTGCCCCCTCCTATGCACATGAATGCCTTCTGTTTATCTCAGTAGAGCTAACAGATAAATTGGGAAACTTAAAAAGTAGAACAATATTATTTAAAGAAAGCAATTGAATTTTCTGATAATATTTCCTGTTTTCTTTCGCTACATTAATAATTAGCAAAGCTATTTGGGCTGAATAAGAGGTTCCTGGCTTACAATGCAGCTCTTTCCAAGACATTCAAAAGAGGAATCCTAATGCTGTGTTTATTATATCATAGTCTGTTACATGGAAATGATCGTGATGGTATATATTTAGCAAAAGAACTTCAGTGCAGAAAGAAGCAGTCTTATAAAATGTCAGAAAGGAAGTCTATTAAAATAAATTGAGCCATATTTTGCTCTCCTTGGTGCTGTGGCAGCTTCATTAGTCAGCTTTACTTCTTTTGGTAAGACCAAAATTTGGCTAAATACTTAAGAAGAAAAGAAAATGAGGTCGTTCTGAAAGTGATGTGAGGGATAAATCCTGAAAAAGTTAGTTTGTTCAGGGTAAATATGTGTTTTCCCACCTGTGGTGGGGTGGCCCTGGCTGGATGCCAAGTGCCCCCCAAAGCTGCTCTGTCACTCCCCTCCTCAGCTGGGCAGGGGAGAGAAAGTGTAATGAAAGGCTCTTGGGTGGAGATTAGGACAGGGAGGGATCACTCAGCAATTACAGTCATGGGCAAAACAGACTCGGCTTGGGGAAATCAGTTGAATTCATGACCAATCAGATCAGAGTAGGATAATGAGAAATAAAGCCAAATCTTAAAAATGCCTCCCCCCGCCTTTCTCCCGGGCTCAACTTCACTCCCCATTTCTCTACCTGCTCCCCTCCAGTGGCACAGGGGGACAGGGAATGGGGGTTGTGGTCAGTCCATCATACCTTGTCTCTGCTTCTCCTTCCTCCTCAGGGGAGGATGCTCACATTCTGCCCCTGCTCCAGCTTGGGGTCCCTCCCATGGGAGACAGTCCTCCAACAACTTTCCTGACCTGAGTCCTTCCCACGGGCTGCAGTTCTTCACAAACTGCTCCATCGTGGATCCCCTCACAGGGTGCAGTCCTTCAGGAGCAGCCTGCTCCAACACGAGCTGCCCACGGGGTCACAGCCTCCTTCGGGCATCTGCCTGCTCTGGCGTGGGGTCCTCCCCAGGCTGCAAGTGGCTCTCTGCTCCCCCGTGACTCTCCATGGCTGCAGGGCACAGCCAGCATTACCATGGTCTTCTCCATGGGCTGCTGGGGAATCTCTGCCCCAGTGCCTGGAGCAGAAAAGAGTGCAGTTTTAAGAGTGCCTCCCCCCGCCTTTCTCCCGGGCTCAACTTCACTCCCCATTTCTCTACCTGCTCCCCTCCAGTGGCACAGGGGGACAGGGAATGGGGGTTGTGGTCAGTCCATCATACCTTGTCTCTGCTTCTCCTTCCTCCTCAGGGGAGGATGCTCACATTCTGCCCCTGCTCCAGCTTGGGGTCCCTCCCATGGGAGACAGTCCTCCAACAACTTTCCTGACCTGAGTCCTTCCCACGGGCTGCAGTTCTTCACAAACTGCTCCATCGTGGATCCCCTCACAGGGTGCAGTCCTTCAGGAGCAGCACGCTCCAACACGAGCTGCCCACGGGGTCACAGCCTCCTTCGGGCATCTGCCTGCTCTGGCGTGGGGTCCTCCCCAGGCTGCAAGTGGCCCTCTGCTCCCCCGTGACTCTCCATGGCTGCAGGGCACAGCGGCCTCACCATGGGCTGCACCACGGGCTGCCGGGAACCCTCTGCTCCGGCCCTTGGACCACCTCCTGCCCCTCCCTCTCCAATAACCTGGCTGTCTGCAGAGTTGTCTGCGATCTCAAATACGTTATCCCAGAGGGGCTACCACCCCAGCTGATGTGGTTCAGCCTTGGCCAGTGGCAGGTCCATTCTGGAGCCAGTTGACATTGGCTCTAGGGGACATACAGAAGCCACCTCCCTGCTACTAAAACCTTGCCACCCAAACCCAGTGCACAGGGTAACGATGTTCATTTCTCCAGACCAAAAATACAGCTCTGCAATTGGCTGAGTGCACATTTTTATGGGACTTGCCACAAAGTTGTGGTTGTAGCACAGAACTTTATTTAAAGGTCATAGAAAATGACCTACAGCCACACACTGACTGCGTGCCCTTTCTCTCTAAAACCCCATGAACTCTTGTGACACATTTCAAGCACTGACTTCTATGGCATAACCTTTATTAGCAAAGGAAATAATTAGACTGACACAAAGTTTTAGGTTCTTATGAAGGATTTTATGTTACAGGAACATTTTGTGACTCCGGGCGGTAGAAATTTTTTTCAAAAACTGATTCATTAATTCATCAAAAACTGTATCATTAATTTTTAGTGATGCGTGATTATAGAAAATTTGGTAAGGCAAGGCATAAAAATCTGGTTCATATTATGTCTTTTTTCTTTTAGGTTTACAAGTTGTCCTGAACTCCATTATAAAAGCCATGGTCCCCCTCCTCCATATTGCCCTTTTGGTATTGTTTGTAATCATAATCTATGCTATTATAGGATTGGAACTTTTTATTGGAAAAATGCACAAATCTTGTTTTCTTATTGATTCAGGTAAGTCATGAAACTGTTGACTAAAATAAGGGATTAATTCTGTTTTCTTTCAAGTCTGTGGGCTTTCAGTTTGAAATAAAACAGGGGCCAAAGCACTAATACTGTTGTAACTCCAGTTTTCACTGTGGCTTATAATTTTAGGAAGCATGCAATAAACTAAAAAGCAACAACAACATCACAAACTAGTTACCGGCTAGAACATGCTCTGATAGGTTTTAATTTCTGAAATGTGTAACTTAAATGTCAGTGGTAAAAATAGTAAGGGTATCTATCCACAGGGGACAACTCAGTCATTTTTAACAATCTCAGATTGCTGAAGAGCTAGCTCATCCTCTTCCAGGGCAGAAGAAGTTCACAGTCCTTCCTGAGTTCACAATCTGACAGTGTCTCTCCAAGATTGTGGCAGTGTGGTGTAAGTGCAGTTCTGAACTGACTAAGGAAAGAAACCAGTGGTGTTCTGTCCAGGTGAAATGATGAAATGAAAGGGTTTGCTATGGGAGAATCCTGAAGGACTGAGTCGTATTACTACAAACTTCTTTCCACTGCTTAATTACTCAAGCTCTTTTATACATTTGGGTTTGATCAGCCTATTTGAAGGATGTAAGGCCCAGATGTGAGAGACACTAAAAATGCTGAAGCTCCCACCGGTTGCCTTCTCAGGTTGATATCTGGATTTACCTTCCAACAGGGTTGATATTTCTTCATGCAAAGAGTTAACTCACCAAAATGTGGGAACTGAATGTTCTGATTTTTTGGGTCACTTTTCAGATATACTAGTTGAAGAAGATCCAGCACCTTGTGCATTCTCAGGGAACGGACGTCAGTGTGTCATGAACGGCACTGAATGTAAGGGTGGATGGGTTGGACCAAACGGAGGCATAACCAACTTCGATAATTTCGCGTTTGCGATGTTGACAGTGTTCCAGTGCATAACCATGGAAGGGTGGACTGATGTGCTGTACTGGGTAAGTTCATCAGTCACTGAGCTTTGTTTCCTTTTATATAATCTTCATTGTTCAAGTGAGAAATAAGCTGTGTTTTACAGTACTGTCAGTGGGAAATCTTGGTGAGTTTTGCAGATGAGCTCAGCTGCATACTTTTTCCAGTCACAGCATCTTACTGGACTCCTCAGGCTAAAAAGACATTTTAGAAACAAATTTATTCATTGCTCATTTGAAAGTTTTTTTGCCTATTCTATTTGGATAAATGTAATATTACATTTGTGTCCTGTGGACTAGCATTTTTTCATGCAAGCCTACAGTTTTTTAAGTATGTCTTTTCTGATTAAGCTTAAGAGCTCTCTTTTGCAGTATTTCTGCAAAAGGTTTCATAATATTAACATAAATTAGAACAAAGCAAGCTCTGAACTGTCATTGCTTGCCATGGGGACTACAAACCATTTGTTAACCATTCAGAAACAAGGAATCACTAGAGCTGTGAGTCTGACATTGTCTCCACAGAAGCAGCAAAAGGGATTATAAAACCAAACTGTGTAAGACTTCACTGTTAAATGCTACTCTAGCATCAGGTATGGAACCTCCACAGTCTGAGAACATGGACAGCTGGACACAGACTGGGAAACTCGAGATATGTTCAGTTTGAATTTTACAAATGAGAATGGAGGAAAAAGAATACACAGATTTTTGAAGGACTAGGGTCACCTAAATATACAGGTAGACATTTCTTTGCCTAACCCCATTCCAGTCTAAGAAGACAAGCAGTCTGTGACAGAACCTATGTACCACAGGTGCTGAAAATCAGTGAGAATATTCTGTACTACTTGGTACTCAGCAGTAAGTCTTTGCAGCAATTCGGACCTTTGCATACAATTCTAACAGTTCAAATATTGGAAAATATTTATGAAAGAAGAAAAGTGATTGCTCGTAAGGATCACTGTTAGCCAGCTGTTAAAATGTATGAGCCATCTCAGGATATATCTAACTGGAACTATACTCTAGATTGTTGCTCACAGCAGCTCACATTGAATTTTTTTGAGTGGGAATGTTTACTAATAGCATATCTGTTGTAGACTATTGGATGCAGTTAAGTATGTAGTATTACCCAGTGAAGGAATTCTTAATTTTATGTGGTCGTTTGTTGCAAGTCTAGGTGAAATATGCCGTTGCTACAAAAAAATATAACACCAGAGCATAGTCTCAGATAAAATCTGTGAGACTAGAATATGGAGCTGTTTTTAAGCTAATGTCACTGTTAAAGATAATTTGGTAAAATATGAATCTTACTTTCACTGTGTTTTCAGAGATACAAAATACTCTAACCGTGCAAACCTTCAATACTAAAGTCTAAAATTAATGCATAGGTATGCTTAGGCTGATGAATTGTTTCTCATAGTGTAGATTTATCGACTTTTTTACATGCTTTATATGATTTGTGCTCATGATAACGACAGTTATTTTTATCACTCCTGAAAGAAGAGGGAAGGTTTGCTATGATTCTCTAGGAAAAAAACAAACAAAAAACCCCCAACAAAACAAAACCCAAAACAAAACAAAAAAACCCCACCAAACCCTCAAATAAACCACACACATTTAACATCTTTCAAAGCAAAAGTATGTAAGTATGCCTACATTTCAGTACCTGATAATTCCTCCATCAGCAATTTTTTTTGGAAGAAAATTAATGTAAAAACCTTGGTGAGTTACTCTATTTAGAACATGATTGTAACAAAAGATATGGAAACAGTTTAAGCTGAGTGGCTCAGTATTAAACATTTTTTACACTAAGAATTAATGAGCTAATTGGTCTGATACATCTTAAGAAATCTTTGTAGGGTCCACATTGGCAGCACAAAAAATAAAGACATTAGAATAGGATGCTGAATATTCTCATGATCGCACGAAGTGCAAGGCATGGGAAAATACAGAATTCAAAACTGCCCACGAATGAGTTATTTATTTCTCTATAACAAGTTCCTGATGTAGAAGATATTTACAGGTACACAGATGTCAGTTTTCATTTTATTACAAATCATACTCTGGGATTTTTAGACAGTGAAGGAAATATTTATTGACCTAGTGAAATACAATCAAAGTCGAATATTCAAGTGTCTCTGGAATCTGCCTTAAGTGATGTTTATATAATTAAATTATAGATCTGGATTCTTTCTGTCTGTAGACCAACAAATTGTCCATTGTCAAGCTGAAATTAACTTGCTGAGCACAAGAGAAATGGCAATTTATATGTTTTAATTTTACCACTGGATTAAATTTGGGGTAGATTTAGTTATTGCTAGGTAAAAATTGGAAAAGTTGTTTTAATTGCACAGTGTGGAAGCATTAGGAGTGTACCCCGTTGTGATAAAGATGTCCAAGGAATCTAAGGAAACCATTTTAGCTAGAGGTGCGTGGGTTTTGTGGGTTGCTTTTTACTTGGAAATCTGATGATGATACAGACTGAATGAGTGTTTTACAAAACATAAATAAAACAAACCCCACAAACATTAGAAACTGCACAAAATTCTGATTTCCATTTGGTCACTGCATGAACAGTAAAATTAACTACGTAGGCTTATGTAGCTAGCGGGTGTAATCTGAGTGGGTGAAATATGTGCAATATTTCGCATCATGTTATGTGGCATTCTGCTAGCAAGAATGACAGCTGAAAATGACAGCTTCCAGTGGCACTCACAGCACAGCTCGTTATCACCTGGTTAACAACAGTAAACTCAGCTTAAAAATTTTCCAGTAATGGAGAATAATGATTTTTCTGTTATGTATATCTATTACAGGTTGAGGGCTCTATCCCGTTACACAGACACCCTTCAGATCCTGGTGACTCACATGGGCATCCTGCCGCTCACCACTTTCCAGCTCAATCCCATATGGCCTGCTATTTTTTAGAGTGTCTTTATCTGGCTACTTTTCTCTAAGTTACATGTAACTCCCTGAGTAGCACGTATGACATGTTTCATCCACAAAAAATGTGACTTCTTACTGCCAAAAGCTAGACTTAACTATGGAGGTAAAGGGAGTAGCGTCCTTGTTTTCACCAGCCCGCGCAGCACGTGCTCCCAAACTGTATAATGTGTTTGTGGCTGCACATCTGTACATCTCCATTAATATCAGGGCTGCGTTTATTCCCAGTCACAGTCCTTTCTGTTTGCTCTCTAGCCCGAGCTGAAGGCTTACGCTATTAGTTTTGGATCCCAGTGCAGTCCATGTTACTGGCACAGTGGCAGCCTCTGTGTGCCCAAGTTTTTAATGCTCTGGCTCACATTCTAAAGCTGAGAGCATAGTATCCTTTGCCTCCTTTTCAGTTTATGCTAGCAAGTGCTCAAGAATTACAAGATCTAAGCCTGTATTTACATATCTGGCTCTAGATTTTTTTCCATGTCATTCAAACATCCAGATTTGTAGTCTATTAATGGCAAACACGCGTTTTGTAAATTGCTTTTTATTTTTAGCTGTTTCGCTTGATATGTAGGAACACACATAATGAGCAGCGGGACTTGCCAGTAAAACCCCCTATTTTCCCATGAGTACCAAAATTATCACATTTAATTCTTCGTATTTTCACCATAGTGAAGTTATTTTGAATTTCTACACTTGCATGATCTACACTGACACTACTGTAACTTGCATGAGAGATCTGCACGGCCTCTGTGAAACAAACTGCTGTGTGATAGGTTGCCAGAACAGTTGATTCAATGATGGAACAACTGTATGTGTGGCTACTCAACTTTATTAAGACAGTTTTATGGACAGACGTTGCATTACTAGCTCAAATATTAACAGCTCCTCAGTTTTCTGACATCTAGCTAGCACTGTTCAGGTTGATCTTGGAGATTACTGAGTTCGGAGCACTGAAGCCAGAATGTACATTGATGTCTTACGTTTTTGGCTATTAATACACCTACTGATACTTTAATAAGATATTCTCTCAAGGTTTCATGTTTAAAATATACAATTAATTACCTGAAAATGTCTAAGCCATCTAAAATATATCTGAAACTTGCTTAAGGTTTAAGGAAAGGGGTGTCAGGTTTTTCAAATGTACCCTTTACGAATAAGTCAACTTCTTAAAACCATGTCTTTTACTAGTGTTTGATAGTAAGATATGTTATCGTCAGAGAAATACTTCATTCATAATTTCTCTGCTTTTATAACAGAAAGAAGTATGCACTTAGAAGTCTGGGTTTTGCTTTAGAAAATAAGCTTTATATGCCCCAAGGTACTCCTTGAGGCATCTTAGAACATTTGAAGAAAATCCATCATTTCTGTAACCCAGGCTGTTCGGGCTACACTGTGCTTTTGCATAGTTTGCAAGTGTCTATACAGCCATGACATTTCTGTTGCTGGAAGTAACAGATCAAGATGGAAAAGGTTGTATCAATATTTCTGTGAATGTATTTCCATAACCAAGTACAAAAGTGTTGGCTTCCTCACTAGCTTTCCAGTAGTACAAGACAACTTTCTTTATTGTGCATAAACTAAAAGGTAGAAAACCATTATTTGGCTGTTTTGTAACTGAATGAGAATTTGAAAGAATGCGTATAACTCCCACATAAACCTATGCATAGAAAAGAAAATAATAACAATAATAAGACAAAGCAGCCTATTGATTTTACAGTATGTCAGTGAGATGATCAGGAACCCAGACTGTCTTCTAATCATGTCACTTTTTAGAATGCTCAAATTCCAAGGTTCTTCAAGGCCAGCCTGCTCAGAAGTATTAGAAGGGGATATAATCTACTTGAAACTAGCTGATGTGCAGCCAAAGATTTTTCCTAAACACAAGCAAATATTTTGTAAATATATCTCACATGAAAACCCTTTGGCTCAGACACAAAATACTAGTCCTTAAACAAAAATTTGCTAAGTATGTTTGAAGGATTATCAAAATTGTCATCAGAGTGCTGATCAGGAAAATCTAAAAAGTATCTTTGAAAAATGTGACCAACAGTCAAATCAGCATTAATACTCTAGAACTTTGAATTGAGTGATTT